GGGGGGGGGGGGGGGGGGGGGCAAGAATCGTGTATGGGACGCGGCTTGTCTGAGGCAACCGTGTTGGTATGCTGTACCTGGATGTTTCGAGGCCGAGGCTGCTGCCTATAAGAGACAATCGTCAACGCAAGAGACACCAATGTTGCTCCAGTTTGCTGAGGGCATCTAAACCACTGCAAGGCATCCCATGGGATGATTTGTCGCGCCTCCGGCGTTCAGCGTGAAAGAGCACGTGGTTCGGAGCTTCCGACAGACAGTGATCTTGACAAAGACAGATTTGTTTTTTGTGGCGGTGAGACCCCGAGCGACCGTCATGGTCTCTTCGGAGTAAAATCGGGGAGATAGCAGAGGGGGAACAGGTTCGGCACAAATTCATCACCAGGCCCCAAACTAAACCAGAAATGAACGACAGTCCATAATTCCCAGTTTTCCCCCTAATAGGGCGGTAAAAGGTGGAGAGAGCAATAATAAGCATCAGCAGAGGGCTGTCCCAGCTTACCTCTCTTTTGTCATCCATCTGCGGCAGTTGAGGGCATGTCGCAGCGGAACAAGGCACGCAGGGCGGCTGTCTGCTGGCGCAAGGACCCCCCCAAAGCGGTAGACCGTCCGTCACGCCTCGCTCACAACCGATCCAGACAAAACGTATTTGTCGCGACTTATTTTTTGTCTAGGTTAGAGAATGGGATCGTGCAATGATTCCCCATCATCGGCACCAAACCTTTTGTACTCTGCGGAGTATCAAGGGGAGCATCGTAACCACAACGCCGCGTAACTGCGTTGACAATAAACGCACAAACTTCGGGCAGAAAAATGTTCCGTTGCTGTCTTGCCATCAAACACACAAACTAGCCGGCAGAGAGAGACCCACCGACGCTGTTTTCCTTTTCTATATTTACAAAAACAACACAGGCTTTTCTTCACGCGCCTACAGGAAGCACCCCCGTTCACCAGACACGTTGCTGGACATCCCCGTTATCGTAACACCCGCACCCGCCTTTGTACCCGCCCCGTAGACTCGACCATGGCGCCCCCGGCTGTCTTACGCGGGCGTATCACATAGTCTATATTTCATATATATCTGTTTGGGTTCTTCAACGCCAACAGCAGCAGTACTGTAGGTTGCGCTTGAGTTCCTGCAACCATCAATGTTGTTCAAATTCCTCTGCAACCCTTGGAGAGTTAGCGATCTAGCAGGTCGTGCCTCGTTGGATGCTAAGCGCTAGAAATAGGTTCCACCCCCACCTAGAAAAAAGCAGGTTAAGACTACCTTTCGGCTCTCACACTTCCGATTCTAGAGAGAGAGAAAAGGTTGCTATCTGCGTGTGATGACCGAAACACCTGGCAAAACCACGATCAATCCCACAATCTCTCAAGTCATTTACAAGTACGAATAGAGTCAGCTCTCTAACATCACAGTTAAATCATTTTTCTGTAGGAAAGCGGCACACACGACCCACGGAATACACACCGCTTCCCGCTCTCTCTCTCTCTCTCTCTCTCTCTCGCATATCACTCAAATCCCGCATGTCCAAAACCCACTCCCTAACTTTATTCCCATCGACAGGTCGATTCCCCCCGGCCTATATTTTTTCTCCCACCAAAGAACTCCTTACGCCCCCCCGCTGGCAACACTGAAAGGGTCAGCGCAAGACGGGCAAGCACGTCAACAAGTGGTCGACTGCCGGACTCGGCGACAGAAAGAGCCGGCGGGCTCTGGCATGAGCGCTCAGTCAGGTTCTCAAAGCATTATCATATCCCCAACGTTTATTTTGCACTTCGCGCACGGGGTGAAACAACACTTTGGACTCGGGTAGATATAGCTCCAACGACAAAACACACCAAGCTGCAGGAGCACGCGATTGTGCGATATGAAAATGACAACGACTCACATCACGTACAGCGTCAGATTGCACAGCAAGAACAAACATTCCACAAAATAATATACATGAACGGCAAATCGGCCAGGTTTTAGTCCTCTGCCACACGGCCACTACCGTACCTTCAACCAGCACGGATCATAGTACAGCAGCGGTCAGCGGCGCTTGGGAACACGACAGCAAAGAACATGAGGGTTCATACTTGTCAAAACTTAAGCACTTGGAACTGCACCCCCATTGCCTATAGTATTACACAACGTAGCTGCCGATAAACCCACAAAAGGAACCAACAACCCCCAGGGTTGGGCAAAGTAAGACTCGCGGGCGCTTGCTATCAATATACCTGTCCCGCTTTGTTGAGCTCGAGCCAAACCACATCGAGAAACAAACACGAAACTAGCCTAGGCTTGATTCCCCCCTCCCTTGTTCCAGACCAACAACGACGTTGATCCCAGGACTTTTAAAACCGGGTCACTTTTCTGCCGAAAAAGCCTTGACCCGCCACCAGGACTCAACGCGCAGGTGCACATTCCCCCCGGAACAGAAAAGGAATAAAAATCAGCCCGCCGGGGCCTCCGCAACAAATAGCATGCGCCTTGACAGCGATGGAACTTTCACTCCCCTTCGCATACACGTGTGCAGCCCTTTCTCCTACTCTGTACGGCTTATTCCTTTGTCGGCTACCTCTTGGGTGATCCGCAAGCCCCCCTTCCACATGCGGGTGCAAACAACACCTACGGCGAGCGTTCGTGACCAGTGTTCCGCAACGACTGCCGTCCTTTTCCTTTGTCAGCCGGCTAGCGCGGTCGATGCCACCTATCTAAAGAACGATTAACGATATACACAGACGGGGAAGTCCCGCCGAAGAGAAAAAACCGTGTCCGCGTTGACTACTGTCCCGCTATACGGCTGAGATCTCCTTCACTAGCGCGGTCGATACCAATCTAAATTAAACACACCCACACACGAAGCATGTGTACACACACACCTTCCCTCAACCTCGAGCAAATTTCAACATGACGGCTCTGTTACCCTGTTGTTTACAGCAAGTCCACCCGCCCGTGTTGTGTATGACTGCCAAAGCGCGAACCGACATCACGGTGACCTCCCCCGTCCGACGCGGCGCTATATGATCCGCCTTCGAAGGCTACGTTCAGCGTCACAGTCTTCATCACCATCCTCTTCGTGGTTGCAGCTGATGATGATGACGCAGTTGCTGCTGCTGCTGCCGCTGCTGCTTCCACTGCTGTGGCTACTTCTGGTTCTGGTAGCTGGCGTGCCTTTCCAACGCTCGATGCGGAAAACGTGCTCAGAACAAAAAAAAAAAAAAACATTACCCTGCTCAGGTAGCACCCGAGACGCCGCGTCCACGCACAACAGCCTCCACCCACCTCCTGATCCTCCTCCTCTGCTGCTGCTGCTGCTGCTGCTGCTTCTGTTACAACCAAGTTGGCGTCCGTTGCCAGCACCAGATGTGGAACCAACGCCAGAACCCAAAAACACTTCATCACTGCTGCCCAGCACACCAGATGCTGCGTCCACGCATCAAAGCCTTCACCTTCCTCCTGTCCCTGCTGCTGCTGCTGCTGCTGCTGCTGCTGCGACGAGCCTGCAACGTCGCGCCATTGGCATTCTCCCTTCCTTCCCTTTCGACGCACACACCGTGGGTTTCAACACCTGTGCGCCTTCTCGCCGGTCCATCGTCACCTTGTGACCCCGGTGCCCGTGCGGGGCGGGGTCGTAGGCGTGCCCTGTTACGTGGGCAAGGCACGACAAAATCAACCGTCAAAAGGCGCGTTTCCGGAGGGGGCTTATCAGAGCATATGTCATCAAGGCGTCATGCAAGATGAGAGTAGAGCATGTGTTGGTGTGGACCAGCTGCCAGCTGCCATCAGTGGCATTTCCAAAGCGCGAACGGATCACACGGCCAACGCATTCTTGACTGCAAGAGCCCATCGAACCTCAACAAGCCACGAAGAAATAAATGCAAATCTGCGTGCAGTCTTATCTCCCGCTGTTGGCACCTTTTACCACTGTCTCGTGCCGGGTCAATTTGCAACAGTTGCTTACAGTCTCTTGCCTCTGTGGCGAAAACAAATCAGTCCTGAATATGAACATGTATTTAGTGTCATTTAGCTGAATACAACGTCACACAGCCGTTTTCAAGGTAACCGTTGATTTGTTTTTCTTGCTAACAAACAAAAACACAACAAGCTCATCTCTTCCACGGAGATGAGGGTTCGGGGCAGGTGAGCAATAAACGCTTTTCAACGTGAACATACATCAAACGGCGATAGCAGTACTCACCGCGCTGTGACCATCCCACTCGGTCGCCCAGCCCGAATTCGCCGCCCCTGCCCCCCTCTGAGGTGATCGAGGGAAATTAAGTTCGTCCCAGCTTAAGTCTTCCGACCATACCTCCGACGGGATTAGGGAGGGTGATCGGGGTCGATATTCGCCGTAATGCTCACTGCTGCTAGCGACGCTTGCGGGCGTTCTGACGCGCGCCGGGGGAAAGAGGGCCGGCAGATGTGCATGCTGTGAGGAAAGGCAACATAACCAGCGCAACCAGGAAAACCAAGCAAACGTCCACCGAAAACATGTGCAGCACGATCATTCGCCACCACTAACCTAGGAACCACCATACCAAAGCAGAACCAAACAAACGTCAACAACCGTACAGTATCTATCTCCAGCGCCGGCCCTTTCCTTTCTTGCTCTTTGTTCCATCTATTCTGCACGTCGGTGTTCGCACTTTTCGAAACGATATCCGGGCGCACCAGCCGCCGGGGTCACACAGGACGTTACTGCCACCTTCTGTACATCTTTTGGATCCACCGTATCTGTGGGCACGCAACCCAGGCCCCCCAAACAAACGCCCAAGCTTTGAGCCCAAGCTGGGGCACCACAAGCGCCCGCACCTATACGTTGAAGAGTAGGACGGCATCCCCACGCCGCTGCTCCAGCCGCCCACACTACCGCTCCCGCCGCCGTCGCTCGCGAGAGACGGGGACCGGGGCGGGGTTGACAATCCCCGCCGCCGCCGCGCCGGCGACCGCCTTAGCGGTGACGGCATCATCATCCTCCTGCGGCCACCACCGCCGTCGTCTCTGCTGCTAGGGTCGGCGTCTCTGCCGTAAGCGTCGCCGATGGAAGAACGACCAGCGTCCGAGACTACACGGGACCGGGTGTCGTCGTCGTCGTTGTCCTTGGGAAACGCGAAGGCTGGGCTGCCAACGCCGCCGCCGCCGCCGCCGCCGGTGGGGGCTGCTGCAGTGGAGGAGATGCGAATGTCTGACTCCGAGCGGGCGCGTGTCCTGCGGCGAAGGTTGGTCTTGAGTTGGCCCGCGACCTGCATATTTTCGTTATCGCGGGGGCGGGTTCGAACGGGGGTTTTGGGGTGGGGAGGCAAGACGCCGAAAGAGAATAAACTGTTGTTGCCTTTGATGCTGTTGTTGCTGCTGCTGCTGCTGCTGCTGCTGCTGTCGTCGTCGTCGTCGTTGTTGTGGCCTTCACATGAAAAACCGTTCGGGTCTCTGCAGAACCTGTTCTTAGAGTGTGAGGTTCCCTGGCTGTTCGCCTGCCTTCACAAGCAGCTGGCCACTGCTGTTCAGGAAGCGGCTAACGAACAAATCCTGGCGTAGTGAAGGTTGTTGTTGGCGCTGCTGGTGCTGCGGTTGCTGTTTCCATATTTGTCACGACCACAAAGGCCTCTGGCCTTTGCCCAAAGTTCCCGCATTCACACGAGATGAAGAGGCAAGCAGATGTGCGTCACATTCTGTTTGTGATGTGGTTGGCAATGTTGTTTCATGCCCGTTGGCGATTCTGACCTCCAGGATCATGCGCCTGAAGGCATGTGGCCAAAAATGACGAGGCAAGTGACAGAAAAACAGCAGAGCGTGCACTCCAGGACACAGACAAAGGTGCTGCTATTTATTCCCCATACCAAAAGGAGCAGTATTCTTGGCCGAGGCAAGGCCTTGCACGACGTTTTGCTTCCCCAACAAACACAAAACAATTGCAATCGCTTTCCACAAATAACCTGGATGCACCAGGGCTTTGTGCCAGAGCACCCAATACTTGCTTGCGTGCGTTGTGCACGTCCCAAGGCCATGTGTCGCCCGGCCCCTAGCAATGAGTTCCTCGGTAAATACCAGCCCTTCTTACTTCGCCCGCGCCCGCGCACGTTTGTACACCCACCTACATGCACGAAGCTTCCGACCAAAAAGTTTGCGACATGACGGAATTCGAGGGTCATGCAATTTCGAACAACCTGTACTTTCGCACGTCGGTCGTCGTACCTTCAAGGCCATGTGTCGCCCTGCCCGGCGCTGTATGACGATCGAAGCCTCGTGTAGGTCCTTAGATCGCCGCCGTCCCTCATAGCTCCTGATAAACACCGCCGCTAGCCGTAACACCCTGGTAGCTCTGGGAACCGCACGGACAGCGACGGCTAGCACTCGCATCGCGCGCACCAGAGTCCCGATAACCTTGGCGTAACCGAGAAGCTGGAGCAAGGGAACGATAGGGGCAGCAAAGGGTACAGCGGGGTTCACTAACAGTTGGGCCGGTAAAATGTGCAGCTGTGTGTGGAAGAAGGTCGCCATAGTTGTGACAGCCTAATCCCACAGCTCAGAAGAGTACCGTAGATGACATAAGATAACACACCCCCTGGACCGATTTTCAAAGCTCGATTACTCCACTACGAAGAGGATGCATACACGAAACGATACATTTTCGAAAAGCTCTCGACGAGACGGTTCCAACGCCGCCGTTTTCGGCGCTGTGACTGTTCCTGCAGTTGAGAAATCGAGCTTCGAAAATTGGTCAAGGGGGTGTGCTATCTTGTGTCATATACGGTAGGGATACATCAAGGAGAAAGGCGGCAACACCAAAGATAATCAACACTTCTTGTCCGATGCCACTAGGCAGCCGTTACACCCTGAACATTACGCGCTCTTCGTGACAAGCTCTATCCTGACGACAAACACAACCCCAAAAAAAACGGCCATAGCAGTGGCGGCTACGACATACGGGAGGGTCTGACAAGTCAAGATAAGTCTCCTATGTTCGGCTTTCTCTCAAACCGCCATACTTTGTAGCATATCTGCGCTTCATAACCAAAGCCAGTACTGTTATTCTCAATACTGCATCATCCCTGTCTTTCGGAGGCACCACTGCTGTACCATACCCCGGCAAGCCACAACCAACTCACCCGGTAGGACAGCACGATGCGAGTCCACTTGTTGGTCAAGCCAACCCGGAAGAAGAACTTTCCGATCCTTCCACGCTCCTTGGGCGGGTTGCCCAGCCACTTGAGAACCCTTCGGCGACCGCGAACGACGTGAACCACCTGCTTCACCGCCAGGTCTACACCCATAGCGGAGTCGTCCAGGTACTTGAAAGCTTTGCGTGCGCAGCAGGTCGGCGGTGCGAGGCCAAAAAAGAACAACGAAGTTACAAACACGATGATGAACACATTGGAGCGACAAAAGATGTGTGCACATCTCACAAGAACAATGTTCAGGCCGTCGAAAACTTCATCTAGGGTAGAGTTACAAAAGAACAAAAAGAAGTGAGAAACTCATGTCACAAAAGAAAAAGGTTCAGGCCGTCAAGAATAACATCTCTCGCGGTAGGGGTGGTCGNCCCCCCCCCGGCACCGAACCATTGCACCAACCCCCCGTGAGCGATGACGTGCATTTGCTGGCTCGGGTGGCCCGCTTTGTGCTGTTTTGTCCTTGTCTTGTCTTGTGCTGCTCTGTTCATTTCTTTGTTGTCTGTCGCTACGGCGTGTGTCTTCGTCTGTCTGTGTCTTTCTCCTCCTCTTTCCCTTCTCTCCCTCTGCTCTCTCCTTTTTCTTCTCTTCTTCTCTTCCTTTGTCGTTTTCGCTTTCTTTTCCAATCTAGGGTTACCTCGTATAGCGTGTGGAGGCGAGCGGAGTGGCCTAGACTATCTGTCGTTGAATTTTATTGGCTTGCGGACCCTTCGGGTCCATTGTATTTTCGTATACCTTTTTAGGGTAATTTAGCCTGTGACCACGGGAATCGACCCCGTCAAGTGTTAGACTAGTACGGACAGAGGATGGTACTGGGCAGAGAGAACGGAACGGTTAATAGTGTGAAGATAACAACAAAGACAACAACAACAACAACAACAACAACAACAACAACAACAACAACAACAACAACAACCCATCTGGAATACAAACAAGGAAAATTACGATCGAGGCTCAAGTCCTTATATCGTCACTACTGAGGTGGATAGATTTTTTGTGACCCTCGGCTGAGCTGTCTCTTGACCCAATTCTCTAATGTTTGATGAACATTAGGCGAGCCTCGGAGTAGGCTCATCAGATCACACTAGCGTAGTGCTATCAAAGCGTGATTCAAGACGGAAGAAAAGCAAACAAGGGCGCTTCGCGGCGTACCGCTTCGCGGTCACCGCTACGCGTTCCGTAGGCTGTGTGGCCATGTCAACTGTGTGCGAGTCCAGTTTGGAGGAGAGAGCAAAGAGACAGAGGTGGTTCTACGCGAAAGCTGCTGTCCTCCTTTACTTTGGTCGAAGAGCGGAGACGTACCAGAAACAAATATTAACATGCAGATGTGGGACAATCCTGGGACCTCCCTGCATGCATCCAACCTCGACGCCAGCCTCTACATATGAATGGCCTGCACTGTCAAGACACCGGAATGTGATTGATCGAGTCACGGTTGATCTCGGAGACGCGACTTTCTGCCCTCGCTAGCGCTGCGCGTCGTCAGCCGCGAGATCGCGCGGCACCGCGGGAGGACCGTCGCAACTCACGGCCATCGGTAGACAAACAGGTCTCGCCGCGAGGCGAGGTCGAGGGGCGGAGAAACCGCAAAAAGGGGGGCTCTGCAGCCACGCGCAAGCTAGGATTGCAAAGATGATGGAAGCGGGTGAGCTCTCGGCCCGCAGGAAGTTCGTCCATAGGTCTAGTCTACATGCTGGTGTGGACCAGCTGCCAGCGCCATCAGTATGACGCTTACCAAGCTCCAACAGCTCTCACATTCCTGACGTGTTTTTGACTCCAACAGCCCAACGAACCCCAACGAACCAAAAAGAAGAATCTGTATACAAACTTACTGTTCTTTGAACAACGTTTTTTCACTGCGGGCCAGCATTGCACATACCTCGTGTACCGCGAATGCCGTTGATCTTGCCAATGTGGAGCCTTTGGCTGAGCTTGAACACCCACATGCTGAGGGGCGAGTCGGTAGCCTTGATCATGTTGTCCGACTTGGCGGCGACACCGGCGGTATGGTCCGCGCTAGCGCTAGAGAGAGAGTCCGCGGCGCCTTCCACCTGGAAGAAAGGGGTTCGAGGTTGACGTGGGGGGCGAAAGGCAACATATAATGTTGCCGCTGGTGCTGCTACTGTTTTCGCTGTTAGGGGTTGTAGAGGTTGTCGTTGTCGTTGTGCGGAAAGGGCTCGGTATTTGGTTGGGCTGACTGGCTAATGTAATGCTGCTTTCGCCGTAGGTGCTGTGTTAGCCTTTGGGTTTCAATCGACGTTGCTGCTGGTGCTGCTGCTGCTGCTGCTGCTGCTGTTGTTTTTCCTGGTGTTGGCGCTATCATTCTGGTTTGAAGCGAGCCGTTGCAGTGCAGTTGTTATTGCTGTTGTGTTGTTGGTGTTAGACACAAACCGTTTGCACACCATGTAGATCAATACAAGAAGGTTGAGGCCTCATACTGTCGAGCGAACATCTCCCTCAAGACTGAACTGATTTCTTCCGGGTGACAAGAACCAGAAAATATTATCGAGCGAGCTTTTCCCACAAGAACAGTGAAGTTTTTTCCACCGGGCGACAAGAACCAAACACAGCAGTCCAAGAAGCGAGTTTCCATGCCCCCTTTTTATCTGTTCACGGCAACGTAAACTTGAGCTTGTAACTTGCCCGAATTTCGGGGCTTGCTCCTTTCACGTTTCCAACAACACAACACGCGATCGTGGAAAACATGAAATACGACATCTAGACCGTTTGGCTTACCTCATCGAGCAGCGGCTGGAGCAGCGGCTGCATGGTGCCGTACGGCAGAGAGCACCATAGATCAGGGATGAACCAAGTCCTGAGGTAGTGGAGTCCAACCTTCGGGTCCAAAGAGACAAAGAGAGGGGTTAGGGCTGCTGTCAGTTACTGCTAGGGCTGGCAACGTTGTTGTTATCGTTGGTGGTGATGGTAGTGTTTTTCTTCACATTGAAGCTGTTCCGACGTCTGCTCCGTACCTTCAAATATCCGTCTGTCATCCGTAGCGGTGACTGATAAGGACGCCTTTCCATCCCCACAAGCAAAGAAAAAATAGACTATAATAGGGCTGATGTCAGCTAAGGCAAGGGCTGAATACCAGTGGTCGGTCTACTCTCAGCAGTAGGACCCTTTCGCCTGCTCCAGGTTCAATCGCGGATTTAGCAAGCTTCGCGGATGCACGCCCAACGTTAACCCGAACTCTTATCATGCTATCCTTGTTTGTTTTCCTTCACTTCACGTACCTTTGAGATCGGATCCAATCTTGGATGCACCGTTTTGGCCGAGTGCCCCCCTCCTCACCCCCCCTGGACTGAATTTCGGGGGTCGATTGCTCCACAGCCAAGCGGGTGGGGTAACCGGCGGAAAGGCCCAACGAAAGCTCTCGACGACATTATTTCCAAACTTTTCCTTTCCCGGCAGCTGGATGAGACGTTATCGCAGAGAGTTAGTCAATACCGACGCAGGGATTGTCATCAATCTTCTCCTACCTTCTTGGGATTGATGATGATCTTGGAGCTTTTGTCGACGTATCCGGTGCGGAACTGAAGCACCATGTCCAGGAAGGATAAGGCGCTCAGCATGTTGTCGGCGAGGGTCTTCGCGGAAAAAAGTGAAGAGTCAACACACCACGACATGCATTACACGCCACCGAAAGGAGGAAGGGTGGGGGTTAATGTTCCCGACGTCGCAGAAAAAGATACGGGAAGACAACAGCAACAACGACAACAACAACAACAACAACAACAACAACAACAACAACAACAACAGCAGCAGCATCGTACACCCTCCAATTATTTCGCTGTAACTTCATACCTTCTTTTTTTATTTTTTCACCTGCCACTCTCGGAGGCTGGCCACAGTACAAGGGGTTCTTCCCAGCGAAAAATGGTCGGAAAGACCGCACCCATTTACTTTTCCGTCGAAATCCCGACGTTCAACCCCGATTTCCATGCAACCCCCTAGACACCCTAGATTTTAGAAAAGATTACCTAACGTGAACACAAACAATGGAAACAATCACGGAGAAACTTACCCGTTTTACCGGTTCCAAAAGATGATACAAGTTTTTCGCTGGTTTTCAAGCGTTTGCTGTACTCTCATGAACGATTTTTCTTTTTCCTTTTTTTCACCTGCCATTCTCGAAGGCTGGCGAGCTTGGGATCGGTTTCGGGGTCGCAATTGAAGGCGGCCCTGCAGCGGGTGCTGTGGAAGGCCCGCAGGGTGAGGGTGACGCAGTAGCTCACCAGCAGCGACATGCCCGCCAGCTGCAGCAGCACTCTCCACAGAGAGATCCCGGGCATGAACATCCACAGCCTGCCTCTCGGCGGTTCCATCATTCGGTCGCGTGCGTCAACAGAATATCGGTTGGTCAATATACAAGTCAACTTCAAGTTCTGGCGACGAAAAGAACAAGAAAAATACATACATTGATCGCGTGCAGCTTGCAGCCGGTTACTCCTTCGTCCGGAGCGGCGTCGAGATGTAGCACATGCCGTTGTTTTATATTCGAAGCTGTTGGGTGTTCCAGGTCACTGGTGCTGGCTTGTTGTCCTGTTGCCGTAGACCGCTGTTCTCACCGCATCAGGAAAGTCGCGATAACCCAAGGGCCCAAGTCAGGCATGAGCGTTGCACAAGGGACGACACAACACTAGCGCAGCCAACCAACAACGACAATTACACCGACAAACACAAACAACGGGCACAACAACAACATCCAACAGCAGCAGCAACAACAACGGCAACAATCACAACAACAAACAAACGCCTTCAACTACCAAAACCCTACAGTACTCCCACCCTCACCTCTTCGCCTCCAGCTGGGCCGCTCGTCGCTGCTGGACCGACGCCTCATCCCTCGCCATGTTCCACTGCCGAACCACCCTCATCATGAGCATCGAGGGGTCCCGCAGCTTCAGAGACACCCACACGTGGCCTACCACGCCGCCGCGGGCGGCAGCAGCAGCAGCAGCGGGGCTCGCTTCCCCCTCCACCGGGGACACGGCAGCCGTGTCCCCGCCCGTAGCAAGCCTCCACACGTCCCCCCTCCCCCGGAGGTGCTTCCCCCCCCCCGTCGGGGTAGCCATCGATTCGCCGGGGCCCCCGGCCCTAGACCCATGGCGCCTGGACTTCGATGCCGCGGGCGGCGGCGGCAGCGGCGGCGGTAGCACCCACCAGACCCTGGCGCCTCCGGCACCGAGCGGCGTGGTGCGGTACCCGTTTTCAGCACCGCCCGCGGCCGCTATCCTGCGCTTGAGCCGGCGCAGCCGCAGCCGCTGCCGCGCGAGGATGGCTCGGGAGGGCGTGACAACGGCCAGCCAGAAGCCGGCGCCATTGGCGACCGGGAGAGCGGAAGAAGACGAGGATGCTGCCGCTAGGGCGGGGTAGGCGGTGGCGGAGATGGCTGCGGCGGTCGTGCTCTTGCTTCTCTCGTACTGCCAGAGGGCGGAGGGGGACAGGAGGGGAAGCCTCGTCGACTTTCCAGTCGCTAGTCGGCACACCTGCAGTGTTGTACGTCGTCCGTTCAACAACGTTGGAGCCGAAAGGGAGAGAACGTCAATGAAGCACGGGACCAACCACACCTGTATAAGGTGACGTCCTTCTAAAAAGGTTGGGAAATGAAAGGAACCCTTTGTTCGGACAACATGTTACGCTTGGGACACGTCACACTCCCGCTGGAAGCCAGCTATGGGTTCGTTCTGCTCCTTGCTATTAATACATTTGGGTTTGGGGTGTTTTTGTTTTGATTTATTAGTTTTGGGGACGCAGTATCAAGAGAGAGGATATGAAGTACAGAACAATTGCGTGTTCCGATCAAGAAGGCTGCAACCGATCCCGGGAGGATGTCGAGACAGAGGCTGTGAACCACCCCGAAAAAATGCAAGGAGCGTTCCTCGGGACGTTCCGCAACAGATTTCGCCAGCGCCCCTATCACCCTCTCCCCGAGGGTACACGGGCAGAAGAGAACACCGGCCGCAGTTTGCATGCACATGTCGACAAGTCTGGCTTTGCAACCTACAGCCCCCCCCTCCCCCCCCCCATCGGGATTGGGTTTTCGTCGCTTGGCAACGACGTTGTTAAACAAGCCAATTCACTTCGTGAACTCCGCAACCAGGTTACCGTTTTTTTTTTTTACCTCTTTTTTTTTTTTGCGGTAACCATAATGGTGGTCGAGCAAATCATGTTGCGCGGGGTCGAGAATCCTCACTCCGCGCAGGGGGGATGATCGCACCACGTTGTGTTAAAATGGTCAAGCATCCTCGAGGCAGTTACACAGTGCTTAAACTAACTGCCTCTGGAAGTGGAAGCACCAGAAAATAAGTTAAGTCATACCCAGCTGTCATTCGTACGGAAGTAAGCACAAGGTGCCGAACACCCTTAGCAGGATGCAGCGCACCCTTCATGCGACTCGCCGAATATCTCACGGCGCTTCGCGCTTGGTGATGTGAGAGCCTGGTCCGGTGAGAACCCGGCGTGCTCCGTCCCGGCTTTGTAGGGATGCGAGGTCAATGGTCTAGCGACTACGGCATGCACGACTATGAGTACACCCGCCCCCCCCCTAACAGCAGAATCCTGTGGGAACAATGCTCCGTCCTCTCGAGGACGCGTGGTCAATGGCCTGACAAAACGGCATGCCAACCGTAGAATGCACACGCTGTTTGTCGATTGCCTCGGTCTCTGGCAAAATAAGTACATCGACAGCTACGCGTATTTTCGACGGCGATAGAATTGCATATTTAAGAGGAGTAGAGGCAATACAGTAGAAGCATACGTAATCTAACGGCGAAATAATCTGTTTGGTAGAATCATGTTACAGTTAGACCCTGGGGTTACCCCCCTGCGGAGCAACAAAAAACGGCATGCTGCGAATAGATTTTGTTTTTTTCTTTGTTTGAAGGGGGCACACAGACAGCAATANCCCCGCCCCCCCCCCCTGCGATTGAAGATTTTGTACTCAGGGGTATCCGGGGGCTCCGTCCCATGTGCGGTGTGGCTGCTGCTGCTACAAGTTACAAGATCTTGCTACATCTGCATACAATATGCATGGATACCTGTATGTACCATCACAGCAGCGGCGCCATGGTACACGCAGCGAGAGGTTCACACACACAGCTGCAGTGCGTACAAGGGTGTGCACCAGCAGCACCGACAGTAACACAGTTGATGGAACTCCTCAGGTGCTTTGCAATGGAGCCTGTTGTACGCTAGATAGATGTCACCGCAGCCACTCTATTGTATGCACGCACACCTCTAATTATACAGCAGTAGTACTACTCCAGGTACAAGACTACATACTGCTGTACACTGTTACTGCTGTAGATATTTTCAGATGGAGTCTCCTCTGCCCCCCCCCGGCGTTGCGATGCTTGGTTCACCTCACGCGTGGTTTGCTGGGTCCACCCAAGCGTGCCGGGGGGGGTGTACTCATAGTCGTGCATGCCGTAGTCGTTAGACCATTGACCTCGCATCCCTACAAAGCCGGGACGGAGCACGCCGGGTTCTCACCGGACCAGGCTCTCACATCACCAAGCGCGAAGCGCCGTGAGATATTCGGCGAGTCGCATGAAGGGTGCGCTGCATCCTGCTAAGGGT